AATCTGATGATTCTTTATTTCTCTCCCTTCTTATTCCTCCTTGTCTATTGTTTGTATTTTAGGTGTTTTTTTTTTTTGGTGTGTGTGTGTGTGTGCTCTTTTGTGTTTCCTCTGACTGCTTTTGTGGGTAGTTGATTTTATTTTTTGCCTTTAGTTAGTATTTGATTGTTCTGCTTCCTTTGCTGTGATTTTTTTCTCTGGTGACATCTGTTAAGCCTTAGGAGTGCTCCCATCTAGAGCAGTCCCTCTAAAATACCCTGTGGAGGTGGTTTGTGAGAGGCAAATTCCCTCAACTTTTGCTTGTCTGGGAATTCTTTAATCCATTTCATATTTAAATGATAATTGGGCTGCATACACTATCCTTGGCTCAAGGCCCTTCAGTTTCATTGCATTAAATATATTATGCCATTCTCTTCTGTCCTGTAAGGTTTCTGTTAAGTCTGATGATAACCTGATGGGTTTTCCTTTGTAGGTGACCTTTTTTCTCTCTCTGGCTGCCTTTAATACTCTGTCCTTGTCTTTGATCTTTGCCATTTTAATTATTATGTGTCTTGGTGTTGTCCTCCTTGGGTCCCTTGTGTTGGGATTTGTGTGTGCTTCCGTGGTCTGAGAGGCCATTTACTCCCCCAGTTTGGGGAAGTTTTCAGCAATTATTTCTTCAAAGACACTTTCTATCCCTTTTTCTTTCTCTTCTTCTGGTACCCTTATAATGCAGATATTGTTCCATTTCAATTGGTCACATAGTTTTCTTAATATTCTTTCATTCTTGGAGATCCTTTTAACTCTCTCTGCACCAGCTTCTCTGCGTTCCTGTTCTCTGGTTTCTGTTCCATCAATGACCTCTTGCATCTTGTCCATTCTGCTTTTAAGTCCTTCCAGAGATTGCTTTATTTCTGTATTCTCCCTCCTTAGCTTTTGCATATTTCTCTGCAAGTCCAGCAGCATGGTTATGACCTTTATTTTGAATTCTTTTTCAGGAAGATTGGTTAGGTCTATCTCCCCAGGTTCCCTCTTAGGGGAGGATGTCTATGTGATTCTGGTCTGAATCAAATTCTTCTGCCTTTTCATGGTGATGGGCAGATGGTGCATGTGTCAGCTGGGAGAACAAAATCCCTTAGTGCTTGCTCCTTGCATTCCTCTCCTGTGAGAATGGCGACCCCTAGAGGCTTGTGTTGGGCAGTTGCCTGCAGACAGGGTCTCTGATTTTTGCCAGGGGTGCTTTGGAGTAAGCTCCGCACAGTTGCTGTGGGTGTGGCCGGCTTCAGGCTGCTGCTCCACTATGGTGGGGTGCGCAGGAGTGGGAAGGGGTGGGAGGCTGTTTATTGCCGTGAGGGGCCTCAGACCTGCTCTGTCGCCCAGGGGATTAGTGCACCCTGAGTTCCCTGGGATTCCCAGCTGCTGGGCTAAGTGTCCCAGGATTTTTCCATCCAGCTGTGGGGTCCCTGTCCCTTTAAGACTTTCAAAAAGCACTCGCTTTTGTTTCATCCCAGGGACGCTGGCTGCGGGGACCTGCTTGCAGGTTTTACTGTTCAGTTTCCCTAATATCCAGCATACTGCGCACTGTGTATCTGCGCTCCTGGTGCGGATGGCTATGGCTGGGTGTTTAGCAGTCCTGGGATCCCTTTCCCTCCCCGCTCCAACTCCTCTCCTCCCGCCAGGAGCTGGGGTGAGGAGTGCTCAGGTCCTGCTGGGCCGCGGCTTGTATTTTACCCCCTTCGTGAGGTGCTGGGTTCTCGCAGGTGTGGATGTAGCCTGGCTGTTGTCCTGTATCTTCTGGTCTCTCTTTTAGGAATAGTTGTATTGTTGTATTTTCAAAAATATATATGTTTTTGGGAGGAGATTTCCGATTTCTGTAGTCCTACTCACACCACCATCTTAGCTCCTCTAGTGTTTTTTTCTGTTGTTGTTATCTGCAGAAAAGAAAACATGGTGTTTCATTCTACCTATTATGGTGAATTGTATTCATTGGTTTACTATTACTGGTTTCTATATATGCTTTCATTTCTGAATAAGCTATACTTACTTGCTTATGGTGTAATGATCTTTAAATGTCCTACTGAGATTATTTGCTAAATTTTATTTAGAATATTTTCACTGTTATTCATTATAAACAAGATTGGTCTGCAGTCATATCTTTGTCAAGTTTAGGTGTCGATATCATGCTCTTTAAGGAAAAGTACTTAGAAACTTTCAGTTTTTATATTCCAGAACTATGTAAATAACACTGACATTATCTGTTCCATCTACAGATATAGTCAACATTTTTATTTTGAAACATTCTAGAATTTTTCATTAGAGGGTGAGTTCTTACCAGACTGTTGTCAGAATCCGATCAGATTCTTAAATGTAGTTGCTCAATAGCTTTCTGGAATTAATTTTAATAATACTTTTTTCTAAAACATGTATTTTATCCAGATATTTCAAGTTTATATGAAGGGCTTTATGAAATATTTTTGTTTATCATTACCCTCTCATTTATTATTTCTACTTTATAATTTATGTTTTCCCCCTTTTTCTTTATCAGATTTTCTGGCAGTTTATTGTCATGTTATTTTCTCCACTCCTCCAAGTAGTCCCTCTTGTCTTTGTCCATTATTTCTCTTACTTTATTTACTTTATATAAACAATTTTTACTCATATTAAAACACTTTTCTTAGGTTTTTAAAAATTTTGCATTCATCTTTTCCACTTTCTCCACTTATTTTCAGTGTTTCTTCTTAAGTAACACAGTATAAATTTCTACCAAGTATTGCTATAGGTATATTCCCAAAGCTTAGATTAGCAGTTATAATTACTATAGTAATTTGGGGATATTATCAACTCTTCCTTGCTCCTCCATATTTTCATTTTTTTTTGCTTTTCCTGGCAATGTATTTATATATTTAAATATCCCTAAGTTCTTATTTCTTTATCATCCATAAATTGAAGCTGTTGAGCGGCAACTCTCAATCTTTTTCTTATCTTCAGGAGTGCACTTCCTAAATTTTGTTAGTTAAATTATAGCTTTTTATTTTACTTCATAATACTGATATAATATTCGGTATCTAATTCATTTAACATCATATCCATTTTCAAAATGATTCAATGTTTACCCTCAGTCATTTCTTGTTTTTATATAATTCTAGTTGTTTCTTGTTTTTTTAATCTTTAAATTCTGTTTTTCTCTGCAGACAACATGAGTGTCTGTTGCATTTAAAACCAAACCATTTTATTCATATAAATTTCTGCGTCTTGTCTCCTTTATTTTAGAATGTGCTATACTATTATCTTCTTATCTATTTTTTGTGATTTTGCTATTTTATTCTTATTTTAATAACATTTTATTACTATGTAGTAATACATACACATTCTAGAAAATAAAATAAAAACAAAATCACAAGATCACATTCCTATCCCTAAAGACCACTGCTACAATGCCACTAAAAGCATATATAGTGCATGTCCTGTAAATGTTTTTCCATATATGTAAGTAAACATACACATACATATTTTCCCTGTCATGTAAAGTATGAAAGTTCTTGTTAGTAATTCAAGACAAGCTATCTGTGTTCAGCCTTTGGCAGACGGCTTGGATGGCAGTGCATTCTCAAACTTTGAAGGTTAATAATTTTACCAAACTGTGTTACAGTGTTGGTCACTGCTTAGTTTTTCTGCCAGGATATGTGTGCCCTTTTAACTTGCAGATTTAGAATTTTCTTTATTTTTGTGTTTTGATATTAAAGTCAGAAAAAATAGCAGTTTATAGGCTTCAGCCAACTCTGGGAAGAATCCTAAAGCACGTCACGCAGTGGGGGGACCACACGGGGGCACTCCACAGCGTGGTGGTGTAATTCCAAACCAGGTGTGAAGATCATCTCCCTGGCCCGTTTTGCAAAGACTTATAATTTTATTGATAATAATACAACTATTTCTGTCGCTATGAAGCACTCCCAATTCCTTTTCAGTCTAGTTCATTTTATTTAACAAAAAGCCATTTCCAGCTCTTTCTTTTCTGTTCACAATTTCTACCATAAATTTTAACTGATACACACCAATTCATGAAGAATTTTTACTGCTTTTATTGCAAATTCCACACCCCCTTGCCTCTTGTTCTATTTCTTTTTCTTTCTGTCTACATGCAAAAACACACATGCACACCCACAGAGCACACACATAAATTGTCAGTCTTTCACTGTGTCACGAGTGTGGTGATAGTCTGACAATTATCCATATACAGTGGCACCATAGGGACTGAGACTCAAATATGAGTTCCATGATATGGACTCATATTCTCACCGTAGAACTATGTAAAGTGTGCTTGTGAGGTGGGTGAAGGTTTGGGTTTCTGTTAAAATTTCCTGGGAAGAGGATGTGAAAAGATGTGCATCATCATTATAACAATATTCCAAAAAACGTTTTAGATTTCCTTTTTCTCCCTTCTCCTAAAGATTCTAAGGCAATCACAGAACCAGAGGAAACATGGCAGAGGGTGGAGAACAAGGATTTAAAACAAGGCAAACTGGTTTTATAACCTAACTATCCTTAGGAAACCAGGCCAATGAAATGCATTTTTCCTGTAATGGTTTTCTTTTCAGGATAACATGTGGTTTTCCCTGAAAATGTGATGATCTTCTGTTAACATATCATTTTGATCTCCTCTTGTTGTCAACATTCTGATTTTGCTGAGTTACTGGCTTTACAGTGACTACAGTGATGGAGACTTACCAGCCCAGTATTATAAGATCTTTCACTAAGAATACTGTGACTGAATTTTCCTGTAGTTTAATTGCTTTGGAAAACAAAATGACATGTTGCTCTCTAATCCTGTAGGCTTGACTGTGAAATGCCTAGTACAGAATCTAGAATCTGCTCAGGGTAGATATTCAGCAAATATTGATAACAGATACATGGTAGACAAATAGAAGAAAGTGATTTAAAGAAATAGCGGTGAGGTTTGGGCTTGTTAGAATAGACAGTTTATGACAAGGATAATTTAGTAATTTCTTCTTTATTTGGCCCAGATTTAAAGCACAATCCATATTCTGGAAACTTGCAAACCTCTGCTACTGAGAGAGAACAATTCTCTGCCCTTGGATGGAGAAGGTCTTCTTGGATAAAGGTATGCACACTCAAACACATACCTACACACATTCACATATACACAATCACACCCAGTACAGACACAAAGTAGCTTAAGTTAGTGTTGCTTTTGATATTGTACCACAATGGGAAGGAAAACTGGGAAATGGATCAGCTTTCCATTTTACTGTTATTATTGGCTGACTCAAGCTCATAGCTGAAAATATTAGCTTTCAGGCAGTTCCTTCAAAGTTTGGTGATTTATTCAGGATAGGCATCTGAAAGTTGGGATGCTTATCTATACTCTTCAGTCCCATCCAGCCCAAACGTCGTTAGAAATATAACAAGATTATTTCCTGTGAGAGAACGTTGGACCTTCCTCTTGTCAGCAAAACTAGAACTGCTAGATTTTTTTTTTTAATTTGAGAAATTTCATAGCTTCTTGTAATCCAGCTGTGTCCAGGAAGTGACAGTTATAATCAAAGTATAATTCACATGTTTTCCACTCTCTCCAAAGTCTTCTTTGGGAAATTAGGGGATAATGAGTATTTGTATGCATTTTTCATTCCTAATAAATTCAAATGTGATTGGACTGGTTTTGTGGGAAAGAGGGAATTGAATACCTTGAATTTACCTCTTTTGAATCAACTTTTGATTTTATCAGCTACTTTGACTTAGTAGAAACACTCAGTAGAGAGCAAACCATTTTGTTTGTAAGTGATTGGAAATGATAAGATAATGGTACTATCTTGTTTTGAAGGAACAGAACTTTGGGTGGCCTGAGGACTTTCCTGGGCCACAGGCTTCAGTGTGTCCTATTCCAGGGACTATAGCTTTGGCTTGTATGTATGGAATTCATTTTATAGGAGTTACTAATGTAGGTTAATTAAAAAAGCCCCAGGGCTTATGAATCATTCATAATTATTAGAAATTACCCTTCTCCCCATTAGAATTACAGGTTTTAATATAAGAAATTGAGGCAATCTAGTTCGCATATATCTCATTGGCCAGGTCTAGTCACATAGCCCTACCTAACATGACTGGGCAGGAAGTCTAGTGTCTACATTGTGTCCAGAATTGGGAAGAATTAAACGTATTGATGAACAGTAATAATAATTACCTACATGGGTATTGTGCTTTTAAAATATGTTCACAGGTTCTATGATGATCCTCTTTTCAAAAGGTGGAGCCTAATTTCTCTCCTCTTGAACATGAGCTGGACTTAGTGATGCACTTCTAATGAATAAAATGTGGCGGAAGTAATGGGGTATGACTTCCAGGACAAAGTCCTAAAAGGCATTGTGGATTCCTCCTTGCTTTCTTTTGGATCCTTTATCCTGGAGGAAGCCAGCTGTCATGTCATGAGTTTGTTCAAGCAGCCCCTCTGCAAAACACAGGTGGTAAGGAACTGAGGTCTCTTTGCAACAGACGTTACTAACTGGCCAACAATATAAACAAACATAAAAGTAAATCCTGCAGCCCCAGTCAGACCCAAAGATGGCTGCAGCCTTTCTCAAAATCTTGACTGCAAACTGAGAAGAAGTCTTGAGCCAGAACCACTCAGCTAAGATTTTCCAGAATTCCTGACTAAAAATTGCATGAGATAATAAATACTTATCATTGTTCTAAGCCAGTACATTTTAGAGTAATTTGTTGTACAGCAATAGAGAATTAATCAGTTGATTTTCATCTGATTTGAAGGTTATGTTTGTTTCAGTAAGATTTAAAAATATAGGCTATGTGGCATAAACCATCTCTAGTTTTGTGGTCCTATGAGGTCACCTTAAAGAAACATTTATCCACGAGGGCAGATTAAACTGATGGACCAGTGGCCTGGAAAGACATCTATCCCTACTAAGGTGCTGTGATCCTTAAAAGAGAAAGCCATAACTGTGAGTGCTCCAAATTGCAGCGACTTATAGGCTATTCCTCCCCATCTTGCTGGAATCATGCTTCAAGTTGAGCAGAGATTCATTTACCTGATGTCACATGAGCTGAGGAACAAGATAGGGTCCCGCTAGTCTCTGGCAGGGAAACAGCATTATCTGGCTGCTACACTTCATACGGTCTGGGGATGGCTAATAAGTAATGTGAGGCAAGCTGTTAGGAGCATGAAAGAACGGTGCAAATGTACCCCTGGGATTACCTGTCAGTCAGCAAAGGTTAGGTTCTGCTGTGGTAATGGAAACTTCAAAACCTTATGGGTTTACAATCCTTGAGGTTTCTTTTTTGCTCATGTTAGACAGCTTCAGGTTGGCTGTATGTCACAGTCATGCAGAGGCCCAGAAAGCATAGCAGCCTCAGCTGAAGCAGTGGCACTTGCCATGAGAGAGGAGAAAAAGTCATGAAGGACTTCCTCGAAGTGACCCCGTGGCAAGGGTTCCCAAGGTGGCCCCTGGGTTTGGAGATTCCCTAGAGGGACTCACACAGCAGGTGGTGACACAGAGATGACTTATCACAGGGAAAGGATCTGAAGCAAAAGCAGCAAAGGAAAAGGAGCCTGGGGCAAAGTCTGGGAGGAAAGCAGGGGAAAGCTTCCGAGTCCCAGGGAACTCGCACAGGATGTGCTAAATTCCCCCAACATCAGACTGTGACCCCATGTGTGCCATGTCGTTTACCAAGGAAGCTCATTAGAGACTCAGTGCCAAGGGCTTTCACTGAGGGGTGAGCACACCGGCACCTTCTGCCTAGCATGTATCATCACAGTTCTGCCTTTCCAGAAGGAAAGCATGTGTTCAGCATAAGCCACACTATTTGCACAGACCAGTTAGGTGTGATGAACCATTCTTATCAGAAAATGATTGGAACTTTCCTGAAAGCCAGACCAGGGCCAATCTTACAAGCAGGACCTTCTGAACACAGCTGCCTCGGCCTGCTCCGTTAACTCCTTTCTGCACACCCACCACTTCTGCTCACATTTCACTGGACAAAGCAGGTCGCATGACCAAACCTGCCATCAGTGCTCTGAGGAAGCACACTCCTCTTGTAGGGAGTGGGAGCCCATATTTTTGACAATAATTTTGAATGATAATACAATCTACTATAGATTAGTATCTCTATAGGTATGAATGAAACAACATTAAAAAAAGGAATTGATACCTTCTATATGTGTGTATGTCTATACCTCCTACATATTTTCATGGTTTGGGTTTATATAATTTAGATATTTTTATTGAATTATATAATGACATGAAGGAAAAATGTAGCAACAAAAATTAGTGAGACACTGGGCACTGATTTAAAAAAACCACAATTGTTAGTCTTTCTACATTGTAATTCTGTTTTTCCAGATCAGCTGGACTTCTGATTCCTCCTGGAGGAAGTGCTTTGATTCTGCATTTGCCTTTCTCTAGAGCAGCTCTGCCCCTGTGAAAGCTCTGATCCTCTCGGGCACTGGGGACCAGACCTCTGAGGAGCTGTTTATGGCCTTGCTATGTGTTCCTATCCTGTACCCTTTAAGTTTTCAACTGTATTTCCAGTTCTGGCCTGCAAAGGCCTTCAGCATAAATCCCATCTGCAAAGTGTTTTGCTCCAATGCTTTCTCCAGCTCTCTCAATTGTAAGCTTCTTTTATTATCTTTCCTCAGCTCTGTGACCTTTTATTCATCAGCTCTGACAACATGGAACACATTGTTTTGGCCAAGGGTTCAGTAGAAAAATAGGAAAGGTGGTTGGCTTCTGGCATATATACTTACAATCTGACTTTTCCATTTTTGTATTTATTGTGTAGTTTTTTTTTATTTTTAGAAATCTTGTTTATCCTCCAATTAAAAACAAAGTTAATTGTTTAGATATAAAAATCTCCTTGGTTTCAGAAACAGCAGCTGTTAACCTCTGCTTCCCCCACCAAAAGACGGTTATTTAGTAGAAGCTCACAATGTATTGGAAGGAATTATATTTGCAGCATAGTTTTAGAAGATAGCATCTCCCTTTCCAACGAAGGGAGGACTTTATTGTGGGTCTCTTCTTTATGGTTAGATGGCAGAATGTTTTATTGCTATTTATAAAAGCCTGCATTAAAAGAATGCAATATTGGTTCTCCCAGAGTGGGATCTATTTGGAAAACTAATTATCTCCAAATGGCTGCAAAATTTCAAGAATCTGCCAAGAAGACAAATCAAGAAAACCATCTAGATGACTTATTGCAGTGTGGGGTACCGTGGAACTCTTGGGACCTCCCCAGCAGCTGTTTAAAACCCTCCTGCTCCCTTCCTCTTCTCCTCCCCACTCCAACCTTTGCAGATGACCTCAGCTCATATTTCACAGAGAGAAATCCGGACCAACAAGGGAGAACTCTCTCAGCTCCCTCTTCTTCCCTGCTTACATATTTATCTGCTTTTATGGCTTCCTTATGCCCTTTCCTCCCATCTTAGTGAAAGACTGTGCTTTGCTCCATCCCAGGCTGATCCCACCAGGTGAGTTCCTACAACTTCAAGGTTTGTGCTCCAGCAAATAACTCCTGTGCCTGCAATTTCCTTTCAGTCTATATATCTACTCAGATTTCTTCAATTCAAATAACAGTAACACACACACACACACACACACACACACACACACACACACACACACACACTTGCTCCAGTTACTCTCTTTCTTTCCCTTAATGAGAAAGTCCATTATTACACCAGCCATGCTCTTTACTATGGCAGGCGAGGTGCCAGCCGGAGTGAGGGGTTCTTCTGCAGCCTGAGTGCAGTTGTGATAAGGGCTTCTTTATTAGATGACTGCTTTTCATTCCTTGTCCTATCAAATACACAGTATAATTATTTGAGTTCTTTTGGGGGGCAAATACCTGGCCTAGTAAGTGCTTAAAAGGCACATAAATGGCCTCATTACCTTCTCCCAATAGAGCAATCAGATCACATGTACTGAGAACCTGCTGTGTACTAGGCACTGAACTAAACCTTCCTTTGTGGATTATCTCATTTATCCTAATGATAACTATCCTGTAGATGAAAAAATTGAGGCCAAATATTAAGTAACTTATTCAAGCTCACACAGCAAGCAGAAAGCAGAGCCAGTTGTTTCCTTTCCAAGACTCTGACAGCATCCATGTACCTGGAAAGCCAAGCTTCAGGTAACAGGAGTGTGTATTATCTGGGATTCTCCCAAAGCCACTGAGATAGCTCACGTGCTCTCACACATGCTTGTTCATTTTCTTCTCACACTGTTTTCAACCAAATCTGAGCATGAGACTCATGCCTGGTGCCAATCCAGACCAACTGAATCAGAATCTGGGGGTGGAGTGTGGACACCAGTGCTTGGTAAAAGACCCCAGGTGACTCTGAGGTGCAGAGAGGGTTACCATTGCTCTCTTTCCTCCACTATCATGCTTCCTATTGTCTGTCTTCTTCTACTGTATTCTCTTCTCAGTGGAGAAAAGCATTGCATTTTGAATAATGAAATAGTTTGATAATCAGCTTCCTGTATATAGTATTGCTGGAAATAATCTTGTAACTGTGATCACTAAAAGGTAAGTACAACTCATGCCTGAGAAAATATGGTATTGTGAAATGATTTTTAAAAGCCCCATTTTCCCTATGTGTCTTGAACTTGTTTCTAGTCGAAGGTTCATCTAAGTCTGAGACACATTCAGTGGATCAATGTTACCTTTCAGTTCCTCTACTAATAATTTAGTTGTGTATCATGTATTCCCCTATATAGACAGTTTCACAGAAAAATAATTAATTTACGCAATGTATTTAATATAATGTTTATTGAGTTTAATTCCTTCTGCTATTAAAAAATATATTTGAAATCACCAAGCTACTAAATGTGATACGTTGCAGGGAGGTAAAAAGGCATTTTGAAGGGATTAGTTTCTATTCTATGCCATTTTCAATTTAACTCTGATGTTCTGTGAAACTAAATGTCAAAACTGACACTGAAATATAATAATAATAAAAAAATCAAAACTACTTTGTATAGAAGGAAAATAATTATTTTCAAAAAGAATCTCTGACTTTGCTAATGTTGAGAATAATCTGTGGCTCCTCACTGAGATCCTCTTTTTTGTCCTGGTGGGGGTTATCTGTCACCAGAAAATTACCGTATGCTTTCTGAATATCAAGCTTCATCCTTAGAAAATGTACAGTATTTCTAAGATTTATAACACTAATGGAAGTCTCCTGGCAGCAATGTGATCCATTTTGCTGATATACAGGAAGCAGACACGACTCTAATCTCCTGTTGCACATATCCAAAGGCTGAAGAAACCAACATCTTAATTAGCATAGAAACAAAAGATGTGAAAGCCTTCAGTCCCTGAATGAACTAAGTCCTGTGATAGAGTCATATATCAGAATTAGGCTTGATCATGTTTAAACAAACAAAAAAAATTGAAACAAACATTGGCCATTATGTGCTATATGGCTTTATCAAAGGGCATCAGAAAATAAATGCATCTGAGATTTTAAAGGGCAACCTCTGTTTTGTAAGATAAAGTTTGTGACCTGCAAAATAATTATATTTATAGATTTTGCCTTAGGAAGGAATGACCTGTACATTTTTAAAAAACATAACTCTGAAATATGAGTATGTCAAAATTAAAGAACATTAAGCTGAAGTCA